CGCATTTGAACGGCTTTTCACCAGTATGGGTTCGCATGTGTGTTCGCAAGCTTACTTTCCACCCGAATTTTGAATCACAGTGATCGCATTTGAACGGTTTCTCACCAGTATGCATCCTTAAGTGAATTTTTAGCCGTGATGTAGCAGAAAAGATTTTACTGCAGTAACTGCATATAAGTGAGCGTCTACCACTGCGAATTCTGTTTCGGCAGTGACCAGCATATCCAGCGCTTTCGCTTACAGTAGCCGGTGTCGCCCAGTGCTCTTCCCAAAGTGATCGGTCGCTATCAGTGCAGTTTGCTATATCGTCCTGTGTCTGATTCTTAAATTCGATTGGATTCGCAAGCTGAAAAATCGTTAAGAATCAGTCATCTTTTTTATTAACGCCAAATAGTAACCACTTTTACCAGTTTTCTCTACTCGAAAAGAAGTTCCGCAATTCAACTCTTTTGGAAAAGGGCTAATTCATATTCTCCTTATTTCCCAGTTTATTTTTTTCATAGTTTGCTGAGATTCACGATGGGAATACCATTGCTATGTACTGAAGGCTGAGGTTTCGATTCCTCCTGTGAGGCATCAAGCCCATTCTGATCCGCAGGTTTGTTTTGACGTTATTCGGTGTTGGCATGCCAGAACGACAAACCTGCCCTAGCTTGCTTCTAAGCAACCCTCGAAAGAAGGGAGCGGCCTACAGCCCTGAGGGGATCATTGACAGAAGTGCTTCTGCCTTTCATAGAGAGCGCGTAGGTAAGTTTTGTCTGCTATTATTACTTTTATTAATACCATTATTGCAAGTTATTGTTATTTATAGGTTTTCCGAGTATTTCGGCTCGGCATGCAAGCAAGCTCCGGCGCCAAAATTTTGCCGTTGTGTTCCTCCGGTCAAGTGCTACCCTCGGACCGCGGCACCAACCCTCACGCAAATCTGGGCCCCGCGTATGAGGGCTTGAAAGTTTTGGTGGGAAAATCGCTAACTCGCGGACTTGAAAAGCTAGAAAGCTGAAATTTTGATGTCATGTTCCCTGTCCACATAAAACTTAAAGATTTTGAATTCAGCCCTCAGGTGTGCGTAGTTTCCGCATATGGTTTCATAGCACACATACAGTTTAAATTTATCAAATTTAGCTTCCGGGCATGCGTGGGTCTCACGTACGGTTCCATAAAAACTTTGGTGCGAAAATGGCTAACTCGGGAACCAGAAGAGCTGGTAAGCTGAAACTTTCAGAGAACACTCCTAACACATGCTCAGCCTAAACTTATCAAATTCAGCTTTCGGCATGCGTAGTTCTCACGTACTGCCCCGTGAAAGTTTTTTGCAGAAAAATTGTTGACTCAAGAACCAGAAAATTTGGAAAGCTGAAATTTCGACGAAATGTTCCCGATCCCTATTCCTGTACGACTGAAGAGTTTCAAATTCAGCTTCTCAGAACCGATCGGATTTGACTTACGAACATACACAAATTTGGGGTCAAACAGGGAAAGCCTAGTGCGCTGCAGTCTAGAGTCTTCAGAGACTGATCGTTCAACAAAAATTTTCATTTCCGTTTGTGCAATGCTTACAATGATTTAAGCTAGTAACTGAACAAATGAGTGTAAAGCAGCAACCATTCATACAGTTAACGCCTGATTACTCCAAGTTTAGTGCAAAAAGGCATGACTGCACCGGCAGGTCTAGTGCATTCCAATCTGGGGTTATGTTCCTTTCGCACTCATGCAGTGCAGAAAGGCATATTGTCGAGCGATCTTCTGTATATGTGTATGTATCTGTACCAAATTTTCATCCTGAGACTTACTAAAGCTAGAAGGCTGAAACTTTAGCAATTAGCCTACACCTAAATGAGCGCCTACTTCTGCATGGTTCCCACACAGATACTTGAAATATCTTTTGGTGAAAAAAAATAATTGGCCAACGAGCGCCTCCGCATCCCCTTGAAATTTCAACTTTCAAGCTTTCTTGGCACCTAAGTTAGCAACTTACTGGAACAAAATTTTCACGGGCCCGTGCATGTTTACCAAGCA